TACCTATACATCCTGCAGTATGGTCGTCGTCTATCATCAATTTTAAAACCGAAAATAATACTATCTTCTCGGGTACAAGTTCCTATTTTATCGTACCTAATTTTCAAGAATACCATTAAAATTTAAGTACATATTTTTTTCTATCTGTAAGCCTTTGGAGTTAAAAACAAATAATAAATATAGCACTAATTATTAATGCGTATATATGCCTAACTCGTATGATCCTTTTATAATTATATTAATGTTGGAATAATAATTTAGTTTTTTTACAAAACTCATCCACTCATTCGCAATGCGCTTCAGCTGCCAAAATATTACACTGTATAGTATAGTTATATATTACTTACTTGACATATTCATGGGTATATACGCCGCTTTTTCACGCAAACAGTATAGGTTACAATGGTGAAAACTTTATTATTAAGACAAACATAAATTAATATTTCTTTATAATCGCCTGATATTCATAAAGAATCTACCTTCTAAAAATATAAAATTATTAATTACAAATGGCTATAGAATATTTCGTTTTCTTCACTGAAAATGTTCATAGATATATCCACGTCTTATAGTATACATTTAGACTTTAAATTTTAACAAAAAGCCAAACTATATAAGTGAGCCCATCACAAAATACTACTGCTGTAAAGCAATAATAAAAAAAATTCTAAGTGAAAGAAAATTAATGTTATGTTTAATCCGGTTTAGTTTACTTACAATTGTACAAGTTCGTTTTGTAACCGTATAAACACTAAAAACTGTCAAAGTTTTTATATTTATCAATAATAAAATAAATATGTCAATGTTATTTTAGAAATTACAAAATCATTATACTTATTATATAATACACGTTTTTCAATATTTTCTTAAAAAAATTAATTTATAATATTTTAATTGTTTTATTTTATGGACCTATGGTACAAACTACAAATGTAATTATTATTATTTTTTTTTTTTTTTTTTTTTTAGAAATACACCTCAACTACCAGGGTTATTGGCGTTTAAGATATACATGTTACAGTTTAATTATATTTACATAATGATACTAGAGTATAAAGAAGAAAAGTATATAAGATAAATAATATGATATCAATAAATATATAGTTATATTTTTTGTAGAAGGTTCGTAAATGTAATTATTATTATAATTAATATAATCATATTTTTCTATAGCTAGACACCTACTTGAAATCTATATTAAATTCGGGGCAATACGTATCTTATATTATTTATGCCATATTAATATATTACACAATGGTTTATGCGAAACATTAATATTATATATATAAATATGTATAAACGGTCTTGTTTAAAATAGCTAGTGTTGATCCTTTTATATGGTATAATGTACAGGATTCCAAATTTCCAATCAATTTCATTTATAATCATTACGAGAAAAGTATCCGACTTTGTGCATTTGTTCTCATTATATTCTTAATGTCTTACGATGTGCAACCAACTTCGATAGATCTCTAGAGACTTTTCTTAATAATAAACTTGTCAAAGTAGTATTCTACTAAGCCCTTTTGTCAAAAAAGCTTTCTATTTCAACTCCTTCCATAACTTTTCGATTTGGTACTTTCATTCTGTCAATACTCATTCTATCATTGCAATTTAAAAGCCTTTAAAGCATTCTCTTTTTKTTGTTATATATTTTGAAATCAACTAGGTATATTATCAGTATCAGACGTGCTCTATCGTTTCACCTGTAAAGTTTTAATCAAATAAAAATGTGTACTCGTGATAATCATTTATACGTCATTTGTATAAAAAATTAATATTTTTAATTAATCGGAACAGAAATTATATACATTCTACCTACATGAATATTTAAAGTAAAATACGAACGTTATATATAATATAATAAATGTATTACCTATTTATTATTAATTAAATATAAAAATGTTTATGAACAATTGTTAATACATACCTAATATAAAATATTTAGGTTCATATTTTATATTATATGATTGGACCTTAAATTCCAATCCATCAGATATGTGTGTACCTATTACATTTTAAAGTGTTGTATACAATATTATTCAAATAAAAGTTGTATATTCGGTCCGATCAGAACCATCACATTTTTCATTAATGAAAATAACATTTTAAAATTAATTTGTTACTTCGTGTGTAAATAGTCTGATTRTAAACCAAAATTCAAAAAATTATCATTTGATCTTTGTAATGTGTGTTACTGAATACGAGGCAAATATATATCACGTATTTTCGTATCCATTAGAGAAAATCTAATAACGTGTTTAGTATTTACATAGCCTGTAGTCTTACTAGTCTTAGTGTACTCGAAACTGACCGTTCGCCATTTTGTTTTTACTTATTTGCACTTTGTACCTACTTGAAACACTACAACCCATTAAGTCACTGGACATTTCTTAAACTTAATTTCTCAATTCAAATACAATTCCGGAAGACGTAAACCGCAGAAAATATCATGAAAACGCATTGACGAGCTATTCACGATTCGCATATTGTCTCCATCATTTTGACGTCATAACACAATATTTACATYCTCGCGCGGGTATCTTATTATCTATTCTATTATGTTATATCGTTATGACAATAATATGACGGCGGTCCCGTTATAATAATATTATAATAAAGACTTTTGTTTTGATAATTAATAATAATGATATACAAATCAAATTTACAGCACAGATTATATTTATAGGTATAATATTATAGTATAAATTTAAATCATTTTAGTAAGTTTTTTACTGAATGTATTTTAATTAGTTAATTTTTTAAACTATTTTTTTTAGTTTAAATGTATTTAACTTAAAGTAATGATTAAATTATAAAATTAATAATATTATTTTGATTTTTTATCAATAATATTGGAGTGATTAAATGGTTTTTAAGAGGTTTTAGAGGCTTATCCTTTACAACACCTTACAATTTCTCAATGTCTTCCTGTGGCTCTGATGCCTATCCTGCCACGAATGCCTGCGCAGTGCGCACACTTATATATGGCTAAATAATGGGATTGCCTATATTYATAATCTGTGGTACCTAAATTTCATATTGGTGATATAAAAATTATAATTATTACGTAATTTATGAATTATCATTCAATTAAATAACTCGAGAATCCGTGTTGTTTGTTCATTTTTATGTTTATTATTTGTCGAGATCTATTATATTATTATCTAGGTACCTATATATGCGCCATGCACGCATCATAATATGATGTGATTAATGTAAGTAGTTTTACAAATCAACCTCCCATCACCCCTTCCCAGTCACCAATATACRTGCATATAAACATAATTAAATTACTATCCTGGGACATCCTTTCGTGCATGCGTCTGCAATATCATATTAGGTATATACCCAAACTATTCGCGATGATTTAAATTATTTTGAATGTTCATTCAACACATATTAAATATCGCGTTGGAAATCGTCGACTTCTGGGGTAGAAAGGTACAAAGACATAAATAAGTAAGTATCGTGCTCGTTGCTGAATCTCCGGAGGCACATAGATACCGACTTTACGGCCATTATCGCGTGGTATACCTTATAATCCTTACCTTATATATATATTCTGTCGTGGGTGGAAGTGTGTGGTTGTGTGTGTATCATAATATATACTTGTGTAGACGACCGCGAGCAGTGTCCGATCTTATGCACTCGCTGGAGGCGAAAGTATAAACTACAAATAGTAGTAAACTTTTTGGTGTTTGGACAGTACAGTAAAACAAATAAATAATGTACTTATATATATATATATATGTGTGTGTGTGTGTGTGTGTGTGTGTGTGTATTATATATACCTATGTAGCAAAGCGTTTCCGCGTCATACGTTTTAATAACTGTACCTACACCGCGTCTGAAAGGCATTATACAGCGGCACAGGTAGATTTAGGAGTGCACCGCCCTGTTTCTTACACCTTTATAGTATAATACCAACAATGTGTAGGTACAATAGGTACCCAGCCGTTTTATTTATACCAAGGAACGTCATATGCGTCTTACAATAATATTATGTATATAATATTCGTATATAGTAAAGTTATAGATACGCACAATAGCAAAATTTGGAGGGGCTTGGTTAGTTCAGTTAGTTGGGTGTGCTTAGTAACCTATATTTTCAATTTAACCCATCATGATTGATGCCATATTGCCATTCGTGGTTAGTAAGTTCCTATTTTATATAATTTTATTAAATTCGGATTTTAGCATATAAGCTATAAGTACCAACTTTTATGAATCATATTAAGTAAATAAGTAATAGTTCTGAAATATATAATACTATTGTTTCTATTATATTTATTTAAAAAATACATTTTTAACTAAAATTATAAAGTCATAACTTTTTTTACGAAGATTAAAAATATTTTATTGTTTAATTTATCATTACACATTTTAATTTTTAGACAAATGTATGGTAATGTACTAATGTGAATTAAAAATAAATTAGTGGTAAACATTAAAGATTTACATCTAAATTTCACTTTATAATACCTATGGCCCATAGGCTATGGGATACGATGATGCGGATAATACGATAATATTTAGATAATTGTATTTAGTATAGTAGCCATAAACCAGTAAGTTTTAATGAACACAAGGCCACAAGATCTCTCTACCGACATCGCTCATCAAAATGGTTGCGACAAAATAATCAGACTAAAAGTTTTGAGAACTTAAGTATATAGGATCGATTACTACATAATGCTAACATTCATGACTCATGGAACGCTCAAAAGACTCAAGAGATCCCATTATAACGATAACTTTTTCCATTTTTTAGGCCTTAGTCGTTAGGCCCCAATCACCATTCGACCATTCTCCATCTCCATCATCATAGACTCGCTTCGACGACAGAAAATATAAAGCGCATGCGCGGAAACACTCATTCTATTTTACTACGCATCCAACACGTCGAAGTACGCACGATTTTTTCTTTTGTTATCAATACGCTGTTATCAAATCGAGCAAACGTTTTTAGTGACAACAATAATAATAATAATAATTGTTATCATCGATCGACGACGAAAGTTCAGTCACTAAACACAAAACTTCAAGAGTTCGCAATATTACGAAAACCAATTTCATTGCGTGTTGTCGGTGTCGAGTAAAAACAGACGTTACTCACGCTGGTGACGACCGTTCTGCCATCGTTGCTACGATTCTGTCTAATGAAACGTTAAATAGTACACATAAATCGATAGGAATGGCCGTCGACAAATGACGATTTCGTCCGACCAGTTGTAAATAAATAAATAAATCAAATTAGTACGTCGTACGTACACTCGGTGTTCGATATGTTTACACGTTCAAATTGCTAATAGTATTGTAACACATACATCGTCATGACAGAAAATCCAATTCTACACGTATTGGTGGTTGGATTCCATCATAAAAAAGGATGTCAGGTATGTTTAAAACTCCATCCACACGTTTAATAATTTTATGTAATATGTTTGTCAACAGTACCTACGTCCCAATCAATATCAATTTTTAAATGATTAATATTTTAATGTTGCAGAGCCAAATAGCTTTATCCTTGTATTGTTTTCTCTAAACTATAAATTATAAAATTTGTTTAAAAATACTACTCAGTTAATACTTAGTTTAGTTTATTTTTATGTTTAGGTAGAATATGCTTATCCGCCATTTATTGAAGACACCACTGGTGTTTCTGCTGAATGTCCAGCTGCTTGGAAGCATTTGCCGTATTTAGCATTACCCGATGGATCGCACAACTTTGATGAAGACACTGCATACTTTCATCTACCTAGCCAACAAGATCCAAATGAAACAATTTATGGGATTTCGTGTTACAGACAAATACCTTTAGAAGTAAATGACTAAACAATTTTAACTATTGAGTTGTTTAAAGCATTTTTGTTTTTAAAGAAAATTATTAACCGAACTCCTGATATGACAAGAAGTACAATCCAAAAATCAGTATGTGTACTCAGTAAGCTACCATTATATGGACATATTCAAGTTAAGATGTCTCTAATTACTCATGCATATTTTGAAGAGGGTGATTTTAGTAAAATATCACTCTTACATGACACGTATCATCACCTCAATGCGTGTTTGTCTAGTATAGACAATATTAGCACCAGCCCTCATCTTTTTGTTGGTTTGTAATTATTTGTTACCTTTTATAAATCATTTAATACTACTGATTATACTTTTTTTACAGGTCTATCTGCAGTTGAACTTGTGACAAGGTTTAGGCATAAAGTATTGTTGTTATTTAAATTGATGTTGTTAGAAAGCAAAGTACTATTTTTCTACTCTCCTGTTCGTCCACTATGTTCTACAATATTGACTTTATTATCTCTTCACCCTGGACTTATTGAAAATGGGCTTAATAAATCTGCTAATGTCAAGTAACTAAATATTTATAATCATGCATGAAATTAACATTAAAATATATGATTTTTCTTAGTTTAAGTAGTGTTATTCAACCCTCAACTAAAAACAAATGTGAAGTTATTGTTTCAAATATAAATCCGGAAATAGAAGATAATGATCACAGTATAGTTAGTCAAAAATCAAATGAAGTTGTTGATGAAGACATAGTTCCTAACAGTTCCTTTGTTTCGAACATTCCTAGAGATCCTAGTATTGATTCGTTGGATGAAGCTGCTGTGCAGTATAATATGATTAGTATCGCCCAAATCAATTCTGAAGATTGTGGAGTCCCGATGTCTATTTTTGATAATGTTTGTATGCATAGTTTAATATTTTCTATGACAGAAAATAATTTATACTTGTTAATATTTTAGGGTAATTTATGTCAACCATATTCTTGCTTGTCATACATGGATATTTTAACAGATCCAAGTGTTAGAGGATATGTTATTGGAGCATCAAATATATTATTCAAACAAAAGAAAAATTTAGCTGATGTAATTGTTGAGGTAGTGTTTTATTATTTAAGTTGGCTTATACCATATATAAATATATTCATAAAACAATTTTATTTTAGATTGATGAAGGAAAAGTAGAAATAGAAAATATTGAGTTAAAAAGACATTTACATTTAACTACAGAAGACCTTCGTTTTGCCGATTATCTTGTTAGACATGTTGTCCAACCAGATAAAGAAGATGTCTTTTTGGATGGAGTTGGATGGGAGGGTGGAGATGAATGGATAAGAGCACAGTTTAAGGCTTATCTGTTATCATTATTAAGAACTTCACTATTAAGTGGTTAGTAGCATTTTTATACTTCATTATTGTATTCTTGTTTTCTAATTACTAATTTTGAAGTAATTTATATATAATAATATAATATACCTACTTAACTTATAATAATATACAATTTATTTGATTAACCTAGAAGGTGCGCCGGAATTAAATCACTTTAATCCAGCTTTCATATCTGCTTGGCAACAAACAAAAAATTACCAAATTTGGTTAAACCAAGAGCACCAAGCAATTATGGCACTTGAACCTTGTCATCCATTTGCTGGTCAGTTGTCTGTAGCTGATATGAAACTAAGAATATCACAGTATGTAAATTGCTCAATATCAACTAAATGTTTAAATATAAATGTATTGATCAATTCTTTTATTGACAAATATTCATTATTGATTCCAAAATCTTAAGCATTTTTGAAAAAATAATTTTAAGTTGTTGCAAAATAAGTAATTACTATTTTTTATCTATTATCTTTTTTATGTTTTCACTTTTTTTACTATATTAGACATTGAATGACACAACATATCTTTTAAATTTCTTATTCCAAATTAAAATATATCTTGAAATATTTTAAGTGGAGTTATTTAGGGAATTTCTGCTAGAAGTGAGTTGAGTCGAGTGCTACTAGTAAGTTTTGAAACATTAACTTATAAACTACCCATTCAAAATGAGATTTTTATGTATTTAAATGGTACAGCTTACAAATAATATTGAGTTTCTGAGTTAGGAATATAAAATCAAAAAATATGTCATACACAACAGTGAAAAATTCAAAAAAATATCACATTAAGAAAAAAAAAATAATAATAACTTTTAAATTATTGCTTTGTAACAACTCAAAATTATATAAATATAAAAATATAAATCTTTGATAATTTTTAAAATAATGAGTACTTCTATAAAATAAATCATTATGTTTAACTAATTGAGTACATATCATGGATCTTATAATAGTAGATAAAGTATGGATGTTGTTCCAGCGATCATACGTTATTGTGCTGTTCAAGTGTTGCCAAATTACATGACACATGCATAATAAATTATACAATATATTTTATACTGCTATATTTAATATTTAACACGAATAACCATGACCAAAACTCCCTACCCCGTCTGCCAGGAAAACTCCATCTACTAGTATAAAGTCTATGGTATATACTTCTTATTTGATTAATTGTAATATTGATGTTATTAATTAAGTAATTAAATTATAATAACATCAGTTGTAAATTATTATTTATGTTTGTTTTTAAAATACTTCTGTTGTAATAATTTAAACAATTTTTCAAACTTTCAATAATTAAATGCTTGCCTGACATTTAATGTATGCATTAAAAGATTTTTAAATTTGGTTAGTACAAAGTTAGGTTAGAGGGAAACAGAATAAGATGACTCTGCTGTAAATAAGGATTATAATACCTATGACATTTTCTAATATACCCTATAATATAACTTTAATATTATGTTGAGTGKAATAAGTTTATAAACAATATAAAGTATAGGTGGTGGAGTGTAAGGACTATAAATAATATATTATAGTAGACAACCTTATTTCTATTAAACTAAAATGAGCAAAATTATATGGAAAAATAATTGTTATTAGTCAATAGGTCAATGCAAAATATTAAAACATCATTAAACAACTTTTTTTTCTTATTTGATTTATGAATTTGTTGTAAACACAAATATTTAGTTTGTTGACAGATTTTATCATAAGTTAATTTTCTGCAATTCTGCAAGCTACCTAACTAAAAATAATACTTAAATACTATTAAATTAGTTGTATTATGTTTCAATCAAGATGTATAAATGTATTATTATATTATTAGATTAAATTAAAATACATGTTATAATTTTATGTTGGATAGCACAATGCAGAGCAGTAGAAGTGGTCGAAAGTTAAACCAAGCAGTCCAAAATACAAGTAGAGCAGTTGCGTCCACGGGTAAAGTTGTTGGTATGTGTAAATAATAATATTAACCATCATTATTTTATGTTTTTTTTTTTATGATATTAACAAAGTATTTATTTGGAATAGGAGGTGCTATTTCTCAAGCTAGGGGTGCCGTAACTAATTGGTGGAGTAGTTTAACTACAACTCAAGATCTAGAAGATGAGAAAAATACACCTGTTATTCAGGATGTTTAATAATGAATTATATACTAGTTTACTCTACCGTTTGTTTTGTTCTGAATTTGTTCAGTTATACCATTTTATATTTTATTTTATTTTTATTTTTTATATTATTGTATGATTAATTTTTCATTTAGGTTAAGTAAATTATTTTCAACCTGTCTATATTTGACATTGACAACTATATGGACCTGGGGCTTGTGCATTATAAATATTATAAAAAGATATTGGAGTTTCTACAAGTGACATATAGCTTATTTTACTACATACTACTAATAGTGAAATCAACAATGTGTATAAACAGTCTGTTTACTTCTGATCTCAATACTTGTGTTTGTTAAAAATGACTTTTAATGATACACAATAATAACAAATTCATAAAATTATGCCCTAGGTCTATTTTTAAATAGATTTACATATGTATACTTCATATTATATAGAATTATTCAGAATAACTGGATATTTATATTTGTAGTACATACCTTTTTTTAATTGATAAATAATTTAATTTGGACAAAAATCTTTAATAAAACATACCATATTATGTTACATTCACAAATTATTTGTATAAAAACATTAAACAAAAAATTTTGAAATGCCCCTTAATTTTAAATTCTTAGAATCTCTTAGTTTTACATCAACTGTGATGATTGTTTAGTAATTGTATTACATTTTTTTACTTATACATTCTAAATTCATTTTGTTGTTTACAAGAATACATTAAAATCATCATATATTTTGTGCTATAATCATTTCCAGTATTTCCAAATAAATTTAAACCATCCCAACAAATTATGTTTAGGGTAAACAAATCCTAATTTTGCTAAAATTCTATCATATATCATTATCATTCTTTTATCAAAAATAAAATTTCTTTTTTTATATATCACATGTTTTTGTAATCATGACTATTAATGAGTATTTGAACACTAGTTAGCTAATACAGTGGGTGTTTCTTATTGTGATCACCAGATAACAGCAAATCAATCATATTAAATTAGAGTTGAGAGACTTAATCTCAATTAATATTAATTTTTTTATTGAATTATCAAGGGTTACGTGTATTAAAACACCAATGTGAATATATGATCACATTAAAGTGTCCACTCTAATAGATTCAAATATGTTGTTCGTTGAAAGATGCAATAATTTGTTATTTTAAATAGCAGTGTAGGTATCCATAATTATTGGAAAATTCATTATTCAATTGCACTTTTTTAATTGTTTCTTTGTTTTAAGTTTGACATAAGTATTTCATTTAAACAAGCATAAGTATGCATGCTTAATTACTTTTAAATTAATAGCATGGCTTATCCAATTAAATCCATTTTCTTAATAACTAATTGGATAACACCACAATGACAAGTTATTTGATTTACACTCTTGTTGTTGCATATGAATAGATTATTACCTACAGTAAAATATCACAAGTTTAAAAGAAACAACAATTTTTAATGTGTTTGTTTTTTGGCACAATGTTTCGATTCTTAATCTACAACATTCTATCTAACATCCTGCAATTTTTAATTTACAGTACCAACCAAATTTACTATTTAGCTTAATAAATAGTAAAACTAGATATACAATGTGATTGTTATTTTTATTGTTATGTTTATTGTATCATAATTTGTCTTTTTTTTACATAACTATAATTTATATTTTATGCTCAAAACATTTCCTTTTTGACTACAATCATAGCGACATTGTGTTTGTACACTTGTTAATAATCAACACAATGATGCGTTGTACTTAAATAATCGAATATAATTATCTATATTATATACTTTTGCGTGTAAGTTATTTGAATTATTAACTGTGATTAATCAATTAACGGAAAACATAAGAATATAATTTAATGACCCATTTCGGATATATTTATGTGTGTAGTATAATTATACCTGTAAGCGTTACAAGGGATTTTTTTTTTGTGTGTGGATTGGGGGGCTAGAATTGTATCAGCAGCACAGACCCCATCAATTGATATTTCAAACTAAAATATGATCAAGAACTGGGACTTGATTCCCTTCTTATTGCGCTTGTGATTAAACCATATTCAATAAAAACATATACCTTCAAGCACCGTCCTGTATTAGGCTTACCATCTACGTACATGGTGACGACTGCAGTTACCACCTAGATATTTTATAGTGGTAGACTACTAGACTGAGTGGCTAACTGCAAAGGTTCCGTCATGGCCACTTGCATTAAACTCAAATGTATTTAATACTTATCATAATATTATTTTTCGGTGTGCGTTTAAGAAGTGTTACCTATCTCACATAATGTCACACCACGTTATTTTTAGACAGAATGGGAATAATGTATATTTTATTTTGACTACCCTCCAAAACTGTGCTACAGGGTTGCCACTCCCGAGTTGTACATAAAACGTTTAATCAATTATGTTTACCAGGTGCGTCTCTGTATGAGTAGGCGATTCCCCCTCCCCGTGTCTGTGTTTGTGATGTTTCACAATATATATTTTATTTTGATATTGGTATATGTTTAAAGAGTTTTAAGCAAAATTCAACATTTATGTTCCCCTCCATTCCCGTGGAATTGACCTTTGACTTGAACGCGTCAAACCTCGACGTCAGTTTTATTATTATTATAATTTATTATTAGCCCCCTCCCCCCACGTCATATTTTTGGCACTGATACAGAACTAAATCCGGGCTCCTCTTAAATAACAATTAATTTTGAAACATTTTCTAATATAATATATATTGAAGTAATTATTTGCATTTGCCCTAGTACCATAATGGGTCCTTCTGACCCTCCCCCCCCTTGTGGGGTCCCTGATTGTTATTATCATGCTATATTTCTAGGAATTCTAGTTGATAGATAATGACGTTATTGTGAAAACAAATTAGCTTGATATCGGGATAATATGTACATGCTCGATTGTATCTTAAGTAAAAACCGCACCAAAGTGAATTGTAAATTGGAGCGTAATATTGTATGTGATGCATTAATTGATTTTACGAGCCACGGCTATAATATTTAAATTTAAGAAATGTTTTCAGAATTCATATAATCTTATATTCTTATCGCATCATCATAAATAGATCATCGGTAAGTTTAAACGTCCATAATATGTAATATAATACCTATCATTTATATTTTACATTACATTGCATATAATACCATAGACGAGGACATCAATTATTATCGTCGCCGCTTGTTGCAATCCCCTTAAATGGAATTCTGTGTTTCTAACGTACCATTACTAACTATATACGTTTGCAATAATAATACAGAGAGCAGTGAGAGCACCATCTAGTGACCCCCCCATCCCCCCCCCCGAGT